TTGTCCGGGACTAATTTATCCTAATGTGTATATACACTGCTTGATTTGACTCCATTCCTTGCAGTCTTGCTGATATATCCCAGCATTCTCAGCCTTGTCCTATTACTTTCTGTATTTCCTCCTATTTTGGAACCTTACTCTGCACCTGTTTTTATATAAAGTTCATGGACCTGGCTTCTAACTCACTCTCTCACATTTAGCAGGCTGAAAATTCTCCACAAGGGGGCACCATTGGCAGTCAAATAGCTTCTGATGCTTTGTAAGAGCAGTGCTTTGCTTTGCTAACACTAGCTGTTTCCATCCATGTGTTTTTGTACATATTTTGGCATTTTGAATGACAAACAAGTTGATGGAAACAGCATATATTGAATAAAGTGGCCACACTATGTATGATAGCTTGAGGTGGATTAAAAAAAAGTAAAAAAAAAACAACTAATTTACCAAATAAATAATGTAAGTGCAAATAGAATTGTCATGTGACTGCTCACATGCTGTTTTGCCAGCCATATCGATGAAACATGACAGAGATTCCAGGGGCCTTAGAAAGAAATTAAACAAGTACCTTTATCCTCAGAAAAAAAGAATAACAGCCATTGTCAGTGCATTTTGTCTTTGTGCTCTTACAGTGTAAATTATAAACTATAAGTTGGCAGGTGGTTGTTGTGACAATGCAACAGAAACCAGACGCTCGTGGTGTAAAAGGGCGAAAGTTGTTTTAATAGGGTTAGGCAAAGGCTGGGTCAAATCCAAAAGGCAGATACAAAACACAACGATGTTCATATCACCATGCGAACAAAACCAAGGGGCAAGACAAAAGGGTAAGCAGAAAAAACAGGGTCAAAAACACAGATCACAAAATAACAGGTAACAGTATCCAAAAAGGGGTTAGGCAAAAAGGCAGAGTCAAGAGAACAAAGCAAAAGGTCAAAATATATGGCAGACAAATGATCAGAAAGAATGCTCAGTAAGTTCGTGAAGAAGCAACACCTCGCACTGAACTTCACTAAAGCCCGGGCTTATGAACTATCCTGTCCTGATCATATGATCTAAAACACAGGTGCAAATAGTTAGTACTCTGGAGAACGTGAGCGCTGATAGGAGCGCGAGACATTGTCAGAAGTCATGTGATCCCCCATAGTATTGTGGGTGATGGAGTCCGTTGAAGTCTCTAAGTCAGAGGGAAGTGGCCCAGTCATGTGATCCTCCTGAAAGTTCTGGGTAATGAAGTCCATATCATCCCGTGATACCGGCGAATGCGTGACAGTTGTTAAGGTGTTGGTAGGCTATTGCTCTTGTATCCCATGTGGTTGTTAATAAATTTCTCAACATTCCACCATTAATTTCCAATGTGAAAAAATAGTGAATTTGAATGCACAAGCACACTATTTCCATATAGGCTCTACGATCCTGCATAGCTTCCTGGTTCTATCTTGAAAACTGTGACCTGTCAAAATAGTACAGAACAGCTTAGAGGCTTTGCAAATGTGCCTCTGAGCATATTTCTTTTCTTTTCTTTTCTCTTGAACAGAGCTCATGTAAAAGTGGTGTAACTCTGATTTCTTTGACATTTGTGTGTCCTTGCTCATTATGGATTTGTCTGGCTTGTTGTTGGCTGCCTGTGTTTTGACCCCTGCCTGTTAGATTGTTCCTAATAAGGCTACTCTGCACATGTATCCTGCTTCAAGCCCTGTTCCTTACATATACTTCAGTGAAAGTCAAAAAGTATCTAAGATGAATTATAATCTACTATATAAATATACTATATAAATGTGAAATGTAAGGAGAGAAAAGGGCATTTTTTTCATTGCAGTCAAACTATTTATTTATTCATTTATTTATTTATTGCAATCAAATCATTTGAAAATGTAAGAAGAGGAAAGGGTATTTTTTCATTGCAGTCAATGCAAAAATGAATAAATAGCAGTCACTACATGAATAAATAAATACATTTTTTCTTGGTATTTAACCTAGTATTTAACTTCGATAATACTCAAGTAAATTGCATATATTATAGTACAGTATATTACAAAAGTATAGTAACAATTACTTAAGCGTCCCCCCCAGCATTATTGCAAGCAATGGACTTCACCTGTGTGGACCTTAATTATAAATCCTTGTACATAGAGGATGTTGATTTGCCACTTTATTAAGTACAGCTATCTTGTACCTACACTCATACCAGTGCCAGACTACAAAGCCACTACCACTTCAGTGTCACTGCTGTGCTGAGAATGGTCCACTACTCAAATAATTTTTGTGTGTAGATGATAAAGATGGTGGTCCTATGGTTGCCCCTTTCTGTTGATAAATAGGTAGAGGGGAGCTGAAAATTATGCAGCACTAGATGGGCTGCCATCTGTAACTGTATGCCTACAAAGTGCACTTGTATGGTAGGTGTTTCTGATAAAATGGCCAAACAGTGTAGATACAAGGCAGATGCTTCTAATAAACTGGAAGAGTGTATAAATGCAACAGGCAGAGGTGAGGTACTCACTGCCACATTTAATTCATATTTTCTTCTGTAGGCCAGAGAGGAAGCCTACATTTTTGACTTGGCAGAAATTGATAGATGGATCTGCAATCTTAAAAAAAATCTGAAAAGCTCAGAACTTTCTCTCTCCTCAACAAAAGCAATTAACCTTCAAATTTCCCTTATCTCAGATTCTAATTATGACCTTGCCTGACCTTTGTTATAATAATGTATTCTTCTCTTTGTTGCTAGACCAGCCTTGATATTATACCTAAAAGTATCCAGACAGCCCTTCTAATAAAGTTCAGCTACTTCAAGATGCACCCATTGCTGTCACAGGTGTTGCATTGCATGCTTGCAGCTTGTATAATCACCATAGAAAAGCATTAACCAATAGCATGGGATGCTCTGAGAAGGAGAAGTTGCACATTGCCAAGTGGAACTCTCTGGAGTAATGGAGCTCCATCCAGCTTTGGGATGAGTTGGAGTGATCCAGACCTGATCATCCAACATCCATCCCTGACCCCACTAATGCTTAATGGAATCCTCACAGTAATGTGATGTTTCAACATCTAGTGTAAAGCCTTCCCAGAAGAGTAGAGTCTGTTACTGCAGCAAAGGAGGACAAACTTCCTTTTAATACCCTTCATTTAAGATGAAATTGGGTGTCTACAAACTTTTGGACACACTGTGTAGTTCAATGGCTCAGCCAAATCTAAAACATTACTAAATAAATTGAAATTCATGAAGTAGACACTGTGCATAATGTCCTGCTTCGTTTGCAGGAATGAAATCATACAACAGATCTTTACTGCAGTATCTTATGAGTCCCTTAGGATACCAATAAACTCCTGAGTTAGAGATATTAAAAAACAAATATTATGCTGCATAATGGACAACAAGCACACGTTTCTGCACTGTAAACGAGACAGGAATAATTTCTGCAAACACAACACTACTATTTTATTGTTGTGTCTCCTGGTGCTTAAGCCAAAACCTTTGTTATAGCTGACACGGGCTGTCTTCAACTACTGCTGTTAGTCCATCTTACTGTTGTTATTATTATCTGTACCCTGTAGAGCAGACATAACAGATGATTGTATTGTGTTACTTGTGAGGGAAAAGGATTTAGGAACAGCTGAAGCAAATGAAACAAAGGCTTGTAAACACTACACTGTCTGGAAGGACGGATGTTTCTTGCCTTCTAGGTCAGAGTGTCCTAAACTGTGAGTGGTGATCCAATTTGGGTTGCAGATGCATTTGTGATGGAACACTACATGATGAGGATTTGTGTCTGAGTGTGAATTGTGAGGTCACTTAAAGGCACAGAGTGTGATTTCTTTGGAAATTTTGGAAACGTACATAGATTAGTGCCATTTTTGTCTTCAGGTTTGAAACTGACCGACTACAGCATTCCAAAGGAGCTAGTTACTGTAATGTTCTTTGCATGGATAAATGAATCAGCAGGCTGACCAGTCAAAGCTAGGTTGTCATGCCTGCTTCCATAGTCACTTGTTTTCAAAAGGCAAACAAAGAAAACTGAATTTTCCTCACTTTTTTACTTTGATGTAGTATGTCATACCATACCATCCACTGTTAATATGCAGCTATAATAGCTTCCACTCTTCTGGGAAGCTTTCTAGCTTTGGAATTTTTTCCCATTCATCCGGAAGAGCAGTTGTGAGTTTAGACACTGATGCTTGTCTAGCTCCCAATCTTCATTCTAGTTTGTCCCAAAGGGGTTAAGATCAAGGTTCCGTACTGGCCAGTCAAGTTCTTCCACACCAAACTCACCCAGCCAGGCCTTTATGGACCCTGCTTTGTTCACTGGGGCTCAGTCATGCTGGAACAGAGAAGCTTCTTCCCCAAACTATTGTTGGAAGCGTATAATTGTCCAAAATGTCTTTGTTTGCTGAACACAAGCTGCAGTCCAAATGCCAGGAAAGTTGATCAGGCCATTTGTCTGGATGTGAACAGTGTCAAGAACATGCCAGTGTTTGTAGTAGAATTTCAGCTTTCTGCAAAAAAATTGTTGTAAATTAATCACATCTTCAACAGATCAGTACTCAGTTGATGCATTTGGCACTGTTCTAGCAAAAGACAGCAAATGTTATTCCAGCATTACTAGTTAACTTCTCAAAAGAGTCATTAAAAGTAATTAAAAGAGTTTTTATTTTTGTTTAATATAGTTACTTATGACAGGTTTCCCAACATTTGTTATCAAATGTGTCATTAGTAACTATATTTGTGATTGACAAATGACAAAAAATATGTTTTTATGCAAAACAAGATTATGCACATTAAATTTGCCCCAAATTCAAATTGTAATAAAATATCTGTTGTTTTTTTTTTACAAACACGGTCTGGCTATGAATTAAAGTTTAGAATTTACACTTTTCACAAAATGTATTCACTTGTTTCAGTGAGAAGTGATTAATAAACTGACAGCCAGCTTTCTTTATAAAGATAACGACAGCTAGTTTTCTATCTGAAAAGGGCTTTACTGATATTTCCCATTTATCCCCAACAGACAGATCGACAGTATGACCCCCACCAGGCCCACCGTTCTTCCAAACCACCCAAGGACTCCTATCTGGTCGAGCAGGTGTTCAGCCCCCACCATTTCAACCCCTCCGTCAAGTCCCATGTCAAAGGCAGCCCTCTCTACACTGACCTGCGACTGACCAGTGTGGTCGAGGGCAAGCGTCCGCAACCCTCCTGGACCATAGAGGAATTCAAACGCAACTCAGGAGACAAGAGCAAACTCAGTGCACTGGACCTACAGGTGAGACCATCCTTTGGGACTCTGGGTCATTTCTGCTTTGATTAAACCAGGTTTGAGCTGATCTATAAGTCACAGGTGTTTACCACGTGTAGCCATGTTTTGTTGAGATTGGATTGGCCTCAAAGGCCGAGGCACGAGGGGATAGAAGGCTTTAATGACATTGGCAGACCTTCTGGGAATTGTATGGAAGGTTGCACTGAATCAGTTTCTTACTGCCAGGCCTGGATGAGGGCCTAGAGGTCATCCTGGCAGCTTTGTGTGATCTGGCACACCAAGAATAAGGGATAAAATGCTCACAGAGACACCGGTCATTTTTTTGCACTTTAAAATCCATGGATTCTGTCAGCTCTGTTTACTTTAGATTTAAGGCTCACAATGTTATTTGTCTCTGACAATATTGGTTTAGTCTAAGCTATCTCGAGAGAAACTGAAGGCATGCAAGAAAATTCAGCTTTGTTAATTCAGAATGTGTCTCTGTTCCATTGACTGACAATAAGATCCAAGTGATCAATGTTTGAGAAGGCCTTCAATAGCCAAATTAACTGCCCTTGTCCAGCTCAAATGAAAACAAAACCTGAAGAACGATCTCGTTGACCTCATAAATCGAAGCGCCACAGTTGATTCCAAGGCCAAGGCTGGTCTTTGGCTTTCATGCGCTGTGTGTGGAAAGTGGGCTAGCATGGCAGTTGCTGTGTATTGCGCTTGATTGCGAGGGTACAACATTAAAGGGGTCTATTTCTGAGGCCATTCTCATGAGAGAGACTGTGCAGAAAACTGTCAGGCACAGGCAGAAGAGAGCAGTGCTCTGGGCAACACCAGCAAGTGATCTTTTAGTCGTCCAGCATATTCAGATTTTGGCCTGCATACATGGCATTGGACTAAGGCCGGCTTTACGCAGTGAAACGTAGTAGCTTAGAAGTAGTAGCATGTTGCGAGCTGCATGCAACATATATATGTGCACTATAGAGACAAAAGTATTGGGGCACACCTCTTAATCATTGAATTCAGGTGTTTCATTCAGTCCCACTGCCACAGGTGTATAACATTAAGCACCTTGCCATGTAGTCTGCCTTTAGAAACATTTGTGAAAGGATTGATCGTTCTAAAGAGCTTACTGAATTCGAGCATGGTTCTGTAAAAGGATGCCTGTAATAGTATATTCTGTGGAATGATGAATCACGCTTCTCTATCTGGCAGTCTAATGGACAAGCCTGAGTTTGGTGAATGCCAGGAGAGCATTACCTTCCTGACTGCATTGTGCCAACTGTAAAGTTTGGTGGAGGAGGGATAATGATATGGGGTTGTTTTTCAGGGGTAGGCCTACGCCCCTTAGTTCCAGTGAAGGGAAACCTTAATGCTTCAGCAAACCAAGACATTTTAGACAATTGTATGCTTCCAACTTTGTGGAAACAGTTTGGGGAAGAACCTTTTCTGTTCCAGCATGACTGAGCCCCAGTGCACAAAGCAAGGTCCATAAAGGCATGGCTGTGTGAGTTTGGTGTCAAAGAGCTTGACTGGCCATCACAAATCCCTGAACTCAACCCCATTGAACACCTCTGATTGCAAATCAGGCCCTCTCATCCAACATCAGTGCCTGACCTCACAAATGCTCTTCTGGATGAATGGGCAAAAATTCCCACAGACACTCTCCAAAATCTTGTAGAAAGCTTCCCAGAAGAGTGGAAGCTATTATAGCTGCAAAGGGGGACCAACTCCATATTACTGTCTATGGATTTAGAATTGGATAAAAAAAAAAAATGGATAAAAAGCTCCTGTAGGTGTACTGTGTAGGTGTCCCTAAACTTTTGTCCATAATATATATATAATATACATTAGTAAAAAAAACCTAGATAGACAGATAAAAGACATCTATATATATATCCATCCATCCATATATATATATATATATATATATATATATATATATATATATATATATATATATATATATATATATATAGATAGATAGATAGATAGATATTATATATTTCTGTCTTTTATCTGTCTATCTAGGTTTTTTACTAATGTTAAAGTAACCATTATGGTTCTAACTGGTTTCGCTCATCATGTCCTTAATGCACTGCAAGTTCATTGAGGAGTGCATCACTCTCTCCCCTTCAGTAATAATTTTCATCCTTTGGATCCCAAATGAATCTAAGCTCTGTGTATAATTAGGGGGCGTCAAGAGAGGAGAAAATGAATCTAGCTACACAGATCACGACAGCAGCAGGCTAAAGAAGAATAAATGGTGGCACAAGCAGCCATTTAAACAGCTGTTGCCACTAAATCATTTTTACAGTGCAGCTGCTTACAGAAATGTAATATAAAAATATTAATTTGTTAGCTTTTATTTTCTTGCTCATCACTAATATTAGTTGGTTGAAATGACATTGTGTGACATGATCATGTGGTACATTATCAATGCTTCGATTGACTGTTTCAGATGTCTTGCATCATCACAAGTAGCTGCTTAGTTCACAGTATTTAGAAAAGTGGAGCTGCTCAGTCTGCTGCAGTAAAGGAACAGCAAAGATGCAGACTGAATATGGACTGCATTTCCCATGAGTCTGTGTGCAGGGATGTAAAGACATGACAGAAATCATTAAATAGCCTCAATCTTGTTTTCTTCCTGAGTAGGTTAAGCTTGTTCTTGCAGGTAAGCAATAAACAAGTACTGAGTAAACCCTCTGAATAGTGTTCTAATGACCAATAAATGACCGATATATTTCACCATATTTCTGTTCTCTCGATGTAAAGTGGACGGGCCTAATCTTAGGTAATGCCCTAATGTCGCTTGCCCCACACACAGCACAGTCAGAGAGTCAGAGTTAGAGAAACTTAAAAAGCTAACCCAGCACAACCAAAAGCTAGCAAGCTTTGTTTAACATTCGTTTACTCATTTATTCATGCGTTGCTTCATCAGTCTGTTTGTTTGTCCGTCCTTCCATCTGTGCATCTGTTTGTCCGGCCATTCACACATTGCTTTGTCCGTGTGCACGTCTGCTCATCCATTGCTTAGTCTTTCGCGTTTTTAAGCCGTGTTTTATCATATTCATAAGTCTGGATAGGATGAGAGCAAATTATTGAGGGGGACAATTCACCCCCCTCAAACATTGAAGGGACTCCCACCACCTACCTGCTCTTTTCTGTCTACATTTTCAGAGATAATTACCAAAATCTGAGAGAAGTTAAAGGAAAGATAGTCACGTTGTTTCTGTTTTCACCCTTGAATTGTTGTTGTTTTCTAATTATCACTGTGCTCATTCGCCGAATCCTTACAGTGCTGATAAAATCTAATTAGTCTGTCTTTACAAAGAATGAAAAGCTTTCACTCCTAACAAATCCTGCATTTGTTTGCTTTGTAAAGTGATTCCATTCATATTGTTGCCTGCAGACCGCACATCCGCTAAGCTGTCACACAGCTAGCAAAACGAACCCACTTGGTCACCTCTGCAGTCCTATTGATTGCTAATTTCCTGCAGAATGAAATTGCGAGGGTCTTTTTCAAAGGAGGAAATCAGATTAATCCCCCTTGCACACTGGCACTATTGATGCAAGATTACTCTAAGCTTACTGGAGACAGCGATGGCTAATACCTGCTGTGTGCCTGACGGCTACTCGCTAAGCCTGCTGGAGAAAGGTTAGTGGCCCATGTGCCAACAAGCTGGCAGCAGCTCTACACTCTTCTTTAGTGCTTTAGTAAAAGCAATTCCTATATATAAAACCATGATAACTTACATTGGAATGCTTGAGTGGTTCTGCAGATCAGAAAATGGATTATTTTGTGTGTCATTCTTATTATGCCACACTTTCCTTTGATGATCAGTTATTTTGCCTAAAGCAGAGGTGCCCAAACTTGGAGGGTCAAAAGACAAATATGTACAAATAAAAAAGTGGGTAGGTTTCAAATTGAGTTCATAACATAACACTAAATTAATTCAGACATACAATTTTTAAAGGACAGTAAGAATATAAGCAGTTATATTTAGTGTAAAAATAAGTTTGTTCTTTTTTGGGTTAAAGACTAGGCTATGGGTAACTTAGGTGGGCCAAATGAAATGTCAGTCCAACTGTGGTCCGAAGCCCACACATTGGGCAGCCTTGTTCTAACGACCAAATCAGAATATTTGTGAATATAAAGGTTGGCTATAGTTTCAGGTGGATCTGGTCAACACTGGAAGTGACTCCTTTTAAGCAATGATAAATGTGAACAGAACAGAACAGAATCTATGTTTGAGCCTGTAATGGCAAAAACACCTGAGTATTTATTGGAAGTTTTTCCCATTTTCCCACTTACAAAAGCAGATAAATCAAAGAGGGACGGGACCTTTAGCTTGGCGCTAACCCAACATTGCAATTCACTTATAGATGCTCTGCGGAAGATGGTCTGTAGAGATGTATGAAGAAAAGATGTCATTTTAATTTAAACAGTGTATAACCATAAACACCAAACTTACTTAATTGCAGAAAATGTGTGTTTCGGTAGTGACAATTCATGTTCCACACTGATTTTCTGACACGTTTACTTCAAAACAGTGGAATCCAACTGCTCACCATGTGGCCATGAGGGACAGGGATGCAGTCTCACTTCCTGCTCTAAAATGCAGGGGTGTGGCTAAATAAGACTCCGCCTACAGACTAGAACTTCTTGTGTTTTGGTAATGACATGAAAAACATGGAACAGCATTTCTCAAATAAAGTTGAATTAAACTTTAAATCTAAAATTAATCAAAATCTTTCAGCTTCACTTTAAAAGAAATCAGTAAGATTAAAAAAAAATATATATTTCCACAAATGTAAATTTTGGAGTTAGAATTTAGGACAAACAACTTCCAACAGAAAGTTCCTTATAAATGATGATTTTGTATATATTTAGCTTATTATTATTTTAATTAATACTTTGACTTTAATAGAAATAAATTATCGAAGGTTTGAATGTTTAATTGTTGTTTTTAACAGTTTTGTGGGAATGCAGTTCAAAATAATTTGGTAGAATAGTC